TTTATCAATGCTAAAATATGTATTCAATAGCATATAAATAAATAAATAAATATATGTACATATATACATTCAATAATCTCAACACAATAGAATCATAATAATAACAACAACAATAATAAAAGTAATTTAATGAATCCTATTATTTAAGCTTTTTTACTACTTGAGTTCCAATGTCAGGGATCAATGTAAATTGAATGGTTTTCTATTTCTTATTTTTAACTTGTATATTCTAGTCAACCCACCCAAAGTTAAACAAGTCCAGAAATATCCAAATCAATTAAATCAACCACGTTCAAGTTTGTGGTTTGTTAATATTGGGCTTTGAAAATGATGTCTACAATTCATCATTGAACAATATGGGCGTTTATGGATACAAGTGTGCACAGTTGATGTATTTTCAATAATGGCATGAAGACAAAGTTCATTTGCAGAACTGGAATAGATGTAAACTATTAGTCATGGAACTTTTGTGTGCCTAAAGCCTCTCCATGTGGACTTGAAACCTAGATTGACAACCCCAGTCATATGTGTGTGAATATATATATATATATATATGGAATTTTTAAATTTAACCATCCATCAAAACCATCATTAAAAAATTCTCCACTTCTGTATTTGCATTGGTGAAAAACCAGTGAAAAAATGGCTAGATCCTTATCCTTTGACAATGGGTGGGTTGATTTAATAAAGGTCTGGATCAATTTAACAATTCCCTATCCATACAAACTATAACATAGTTTGTATTGTGCACTGTTGAGTTTTTTGTGCATGTTTGTGCATCTAGTTTCTCAGTAGCATAATGTAAAATTATAACTAAATCATATCTTTAGATTAATGATTAATTATGACAAAAGTTTATGAACACTATTCAACCGTTTAACTACATTTTTAATATGAAAATCACATCATAATTGATAGATTTTTTTGAATACACAACTACAATCTAAACGAATGTAATGGTATATGTCTTATTTCCAAATGGACACAAAAACAAAAACAAAAAGCCAACCATATGCAGAGGACAAGTAGGGAATACATTTTCGTGTGTTGCAAATTTAAAACCTTGAATAAGAGTGTCCACAATAGTTATAGTTGCTACTCCACAGTTGCTTTGAAAACTTCTTTAAAAAGAAAAACATCTCAATTTGAACTGTTGTTAGTCAAACAATGACAAGGAAAAGATGCTCATGTGCATTTCATGATACATAAAAATGAACATGATCTCAGATTTGTATATTAATGCTTAAAAACAATCCACTATGTCAATGGAGTAGTATTGTAATATAATAGTTTTCAAATATGCAAGGGATTCAATGCATTGAATTGTTGTGTTGTTAATAGTCCATTAACCTTTGGTTATCACTTGGACCATATCAACTTCCAAATTTGAAATGTATACACTTTTGGAAGGTGATATTCTTTTTATTTATTTATTCATTTATATATTTTTGATGTATCTGGAAGGCATTATCATCAATTTTAAAACTGACTAGATTGTGTTTTTATAAGTTGACATTGATCATGTAATGTACTTGTTCACACATCACAAAGTGGAGGGATTTGCTGCACACAAGGGGAGGAAAGACATTGCTTTTTTTTAAACACATGTTCTCAATCTGACAAACCATGGAATTTAGTTAGTGCACTAACCAACCCCCAACTAATGCCCTAATCAAGTGGCTGAACAAGGTACTAATCAGGACAATTTGTGATGGGAAGCAGAGAAGATTGGCAAAGCAAGGCAAAAGTGCATTCAATTGCACATAATAAACACATCAGCAGCTAATTGATGGGTGACTTAATTGATGCGTGGCTCATTTAAAATCCACAAATGAGTATGTTTACATTCATAATTAAATACCACCTTGTTCATGACACCTCAGATCAGTGTACAGTATGTGTGTGTGTAAGTGTGAGCAAGACTAGATGTGGGATTAAAGTTATAGTTTGAAAAAACTTTGCAATTGTAATGGTAGCAGCAATTAGATAGTAATGGATAACTAAAACATTCACATACTCATGTGTGTATTTATGTAGATATACACACTTGTCTTAATGAATAACTCTCTGATCTTCTAATAATAGTCATATTAAAAATTGTGGTAACATGAGTATTACATAAATTACTTTGGTACAAACTCTTGTGTATTATATTAACATTCTCCTTGTTGTCATTCATGTTTGAAAATGTGAGCATATTAAACTCTTAAACACAAATACAAGTATGTAAAATACAAAACAGATAAAAATAACACTGAAGATACTTTACTACTTTATCTTTCAAAGAAAAAATGTGTAAAGCAAATTACATCTTTAAAATATGAGAAAAAATTACAAATAGTGTAAAATACACATGAGCTTGTTATATAATTAGCAGAATAACTATAACAAGCTTATGTTAAGGCTTACATTAAACTGAGTATGTAATGATCTTCTACTTCAACATAGAATTGGCTTAAAGTTCTTATCACACACAGTTATTGTTCAACAAGATAGAAGTAATAAAGACAAACACACTCACAATTAGCCACATTGACAAGACCCAATTGCATGCGAGAACACTTGCCTCATAAAACTACCCAAAAAATATGGTAAACTACCAATGTAATCTTACTCAAAATTTCATGGATATTGCAAGAGCTTTACTAACAATTAGAGTGGGATCCATAGGAAAAAAACAAGGCATAAGTAAATGACCCCACAAGAGGAGAGGAATGGTGGAATCTTGTGCATTCAAAGGCATTCAATTTAAGGGAATTTGAAGTTTTATGTCCAAGTGGGGCTTTTGAGCATTACATTAGAATGAATGAAGGAATGGGGACCCATTTTGATTTCAGACTATTACTTGTCTATTGAAACTATGGCCTACCAAAGGGGGGACTTGAACTTGGTTCAGAGCAAGTGGATTATTTTTTAATTGTTTCTCTCTATTTCTGTTTCTATTTTTTCTCTTTTGATATGTATGTCATGCATCTTGGTGATTGAAAATGTGTCAAGTCTCTTTAAACGATTGAACAATGAAAATTCAATGAAATTTATAATAATTTCTTGTTTGTTGACGTTGAATATTGAAGAAGAAACTCAAGCTTCATTTTGGTGGTACAATGATGACAAACAATAAAATTCACATGTAATGAAAGTTTCAAAATTAATATATATATTGACTATTCTTTTGGTCAATAGTAGTCAATATAATGGCATCATATGAGATGGTTCAATTCAAGGCAAAATGATTGTTTAATTTTATTTCTTTCATGAACTTTTGTGAACTGATAGTTTAAGAATGTTAGATTATTCATTGTATGTAAGTAGCATTTTTGTAATTATAAATGAAAATTTTGGTGTAATTTTGAAAATATTGAAATCACATAGGATACTTTCTTTAGCTACAATTCTCTAGCATTCTAGAGTTAATTGTGTATGTGTGTATATATATATATATATATGTATATATATATAACTCATGGGAATAAACCAAAAATCATCTCTAATTGGGTGCATATTTCATTGTTTCCATCAACAGTGCCAAGAGTAGCATTGTGAGATTACTAGGCATGGAGCTCAGAAGCACCAGAGCATTGAATAACATGGAACATAGAGGAATGGCATGCAACATGGAGTTTCACATCAAATGAAACTTCAAACAAAAGATTAATTTACAATATGTAGTTTACAATGTTGTTGTTGTTGTTTTTTTTTTTTTTTTTTTGGGTCAACACCACAAGTTTCCACTAGAATATATATATATATATATATATATATATATACATCACTTCATGTATTCAACAAACTTTTTTATTTTAATTTGTTTTGATTTAATTAGCTGGAGTGGTCACGTTAAGATTTTTTTAGAAAAAGATTTGCAAATAACAGTGAAGTGAATAAAGTGTTGCAACAAGACATCGACTTAAGGTTTGCTTTAGAATGCAAAACGAGTAATGTACAGGCTTGGGGTGTGGGAACGTGCACAAACTCTAAATCCAAACCCTAACCACGCAGACTCCGCCCGCAAAAGACCCTGCGGCAAAGAACTGACGCGATTTCTCTGAGGACATGGTCGAGAGAATGAAGTGAAGCGGGAGAGCTCCTTTCAGTCACCAGGATTGTCCTTTTCCGCTACTTTCCGCGACTTGAATGGCCAGAACACTAAATCCTTCGTACCGCGTGCGTGGTTCGAAGAAATCCTTGGCCTCAGTTTCTACAGGGAACATGCAAGGTCGGCACGAAGCGACCAGAAAGCGGGACGAAGGATGAGCAAGCAGCGTGACAGGCGAGAGGAATTCGCATCCTCTTTCATTGACGTCTCCCCCCGTAGCATCCGACGAGCAAGCGCCCCGAATTCCCCCATTGTTGACATGCTGCTTTTTTCAACACTAGATTCCTCGGTGGGTTTCCCACTTTTTCGACAAACAGAAGGTTCGACGAATGTACGAGACTTCTGTCCATGAGCAGCTTGTAAAGAGCAACCAACACAGACGGTCCCCGTTTACGAACACAGCAAGAGCACAACCGAAATTTCTGCCATCGTCGGCTCTATTCCTCGGCTTTCCACCCGCACGCATTTCACAGACCCACATCTGGACAACCTTCTTCATTACGATTGGGCTTTGCTCTTCACCGCTTTGCAACATTTCGCCGATTTATCGAAGGAGAGTGCTCAACAGCTCACTCTAAAGTGTACAACAAGCAAATTTACGATGAAACAAACTAACAAACGAACAAGCTTCTACTGACGTGGAGGTGACAGGCGCGGGCTGGGTTAGTAGGTCCAACCCCGGGCCCCGCCCGCGCCCCCCGCAGCCGCCTCACTCTCCCATTAAGACGACCGGGGTCGGGGCGGGTGGGGTCCACCGAGCCCGCGCCATGCAAGACCACCCTTTCTCCTCTAACTGCGAGGTCTGCGCCATGGCAGAAAGAGAGAGAGCTTTGATAGATCCAGTGGCCGCTGTCGTCGTCTGCTGTGGGACGAAGAAGAAGTATTTGTAAGCAGGCTCTGAGGCTCTCTCGGCTGTGGCTTGTCAGAATTCTAACGAAACGATGTAGAACACATCGCGTTGCGCGTAATAGTTCCGGAATTTGAATTCTTCATTCGTTCCTGTTGCGCTATTCATGAGTTCGTGTCTTAGCCAGGGTTTTTTTTTTTTTTTTTTTTTTTTTTTTCCAAGCTTCGTTGGTGTTGGCTTTAGAGGAGCATCAGAACAGGGCCTTTTGGATGTGCATTTCCAGGGTCTAAGTTTAGCGTCTCATGGTGTTGTATTTACGGAGTTTCGGGAGTTGTCTGTTTCTTGTCTGTGGTGGCCGGGGCTAGTCCTCGCTAATCTGTCTTGTGTTTAGCCTCCTGCTGCCCTGGCTCATCATCGAGCGCTCCATACCCCCCCCCCTTTTTTTTTTCTTCTTCTTCTTCTTTTCCTTCGGCACCGGGTTCTCGTCTCAGCAGCGACAGTTATTTCTTGAACTGCGTCGCGTTTCTTACTTCCGTTTAGGTTCTCTGGCGACTCATCTGCACGCCGTGTGTATTCCCTGAAGGCTCCCTGCCGCTGCCAGTCTTACTCACTTGGTTAATTAAGTTGGATGTTCTTCACTCGTTTCGGTTGCCACTTCGTTTTGTCCTTGGCATGCTGGAGGTCAGTCGTTTCAGCCGCGCATGGTGAAGTTTGTGCGGGAAACTGTAGTTGTTTTTGAATGGAATAGGGGGTTGATGACCGGAGTGGAGCCAAGCTTACCAGTGCGAGAGGTGTCGGGGATTTGAGAATGAGGTGTAGAGCGGAGTGCGGAAGCTCGTGAATGAGCAGGACGTGGAAGTTCAGTCCGTCCGCGTTATCGGCTGCGCATCATTGCGAGTGCGGTTCTCCTCCCGCTTTCAAGAAATAAGAGTGAAAATTATAAAATATTTGTTCATATATTTTTATTTTCCCACAGGCGTTTGTGAGTTTAGAGTTTGAAGTTTTGGTTCTTAATTTCTGTATTGTGATCTTAGCTTTCAGAGCTCTGTTGTAGCTCTCGGCTAAAGTTCTCTGAGGCAGTTGAGCCTCCTGGTGCGTATGGTTTCTTTCATGCGTACAGGTCAGTTGTCCTTGATCCTCGAGAAATACTTAAATGGCGACATACTCTCTTCTCAAACGCCTTGTTTTATATTTTCTCCACTAGCTCCTTGGGTCTCAATTGCCCCATTATTTCGGCTTCTCATGTATGCAAAACATTGCAAGGTTTTGTATTTTGTAGTTTTGTCCTCCCTCAACCTAGCTATGAATGGGGATCTATACTAGGAAGAGTTTTGAAGTATTTTGAAACTCTTGAAAGGGACCGTGTTGAGTGAATTATGAAAGGTTACTCTCATTGCTGCAAGCATAGTATAAATTTGTTGTTACCATGAAATAGAGAATGGTAGGGTTTCGGAGGGATTAACAAGTGGGGGTTTAGATGATGAGGTGGGGGTTGTAGTGGTGCTTGGAGGTGGTGTGAGGGTGCACTCTGAAGGGACTTTCTGTGTCTACAGCAATAATCTTATTACTGATGACGATGGTGAAGAAAACTGATCGCGGTATGGCGATGGTATGTGGGTTTGATAGGTCAGTGTGTGTTTCCTAGCAGACTTCATTTAGTTTGACTCTAGCAGTAATGCAGCTGGCGAGCTGCCACCATAACAACTTACATGAAGGTATATCCAGTGAGACTGATAGTGATTCAATCCTTTTCCAGGCTCCCAGAAACTCAATTATACGTAGGCCACCTAGCTTTTGGCGTAGATGCGTCTCCTGCTGGTGCTGATAGTGATGTTTATGATATCTTTTTAGTGGTCCCGTGGGGAGTCTCTTCTGGACTCTAAATCAGGTATTGCCTCATCTTTTACTGGTTTCTCAGATAGCGGGTCGGCTAATTTCCTGAACTGAGGCGAACAGTCCCTGTCAATGTTGTTCAAAACTTTGTGTTTTAACTACTGGAGGGCACCTTATCCCCATCGGATTAGGTTGGGTCATTTTTATGCAGCAGTCTCCGTCTAGTGGCAGGTATAGTGGTCAGCCCTAAGATTGCATGAACGAACTCTGCCTCGGCTCAACTGTAGCTAGTACCCTTTTTCTGTACGGTTTCATATTACTTAACTTCTGCAATGTTCAATGACTCATGTACTACATCTTTTCGTCACTATTAAGATTGCTGTTACATGAACGCTACATTTTAAAGGCTTGGGCGCTGTTATGGAATACCTCTGTGCTGCACTATCTGAACGAGTTTTTAGTAAATTCCCTGTGTTTATTAGTGATTCCATTAGCAATGAAACGAATTGCATTTGGAGCATGGACTCTTAAGAAGTCGCGATGGAAATCCATTATTCTGCAGTCATATTCCCAAAGCACTCTAACTTGAACTTCTACTTTTTCTTTGTATTGGATGAAGTATCTATTTCTGCTTGTTGAGATTCCTCGGGCTGACTTCAAACTTCTTGATGAAATTGCGGTGACGTTGTGCGCAACTGCCTCATGGCCTTCCCCACCGCACTCGTACATCACATCTGAACAATGAGCTTAACAGCTGTAGTCTTCTATGATTAGAGCGTTCTTGGGTTGATATAAGTGCCAGCAAGCGGTCTGTTTCGCTTTGGGAACTCTTTGAACCATTTTTTCTTTCTGAGTTGCTGAGTAATCTACTTCTCTAATGAGATATTACTTGATAATGCAGAGTTTTCGCCAAGAAATGGAAAACGCTAGGTGGGACAAGAACAAAGAACAGCCCCAGGGTTTCACTAAAGAGCAAATGCTAGGGATTCGAGAAGTCTTTGATCTCTTCTGCACAGATTCCTCTGGTTTACAATTCGAAACCATTTCAGTTGATTTTTGTCTGAACAGAATCAGGGTGGTAGTAGCTGAGTTCTGCAACTGTCACGTTGACCAACAACTTCACGTGCTTTTGTTTTGCAGGACCTGTTGTTGCAAAGAACTTGGTAGTGGCCTTGAGGTGAATGATCTTATTTTTACATACTTGTATACCAGTTGATCTTAAGAGCTGTTACGCTCCTTGGAGCTATGGAATTTATCACAGCAGCACAAGTTTTGTCGATGCAGGTGAACCTGGATCTGAGTGTTTGACGCTACGTTTTAGCTGATTACACTATTGTTTTTGTGGCAGAACTCTTGGATTTGAACCAAAAGAAGAGGTCAGCTACCTGCCTGAAATCTCTTAAGAGTAGATTTTGAGAATTTTTCTGTTACTTGAATTCATTAACCGACCATGAGTATTCACTTCATGATGTGAATCTTGCCACCGGATCTACCTCTCGGCAAGTGCTGTCCTTAGTTAATCTAAACGGCACTTAGTTTTTCGATGTCGCATGAGTCTTAGATCATATGGTTTGGAAATTACATAGATACAGTTAGTATTGTGTCTTAAGAGTACACTGAGATTGTTGCATTATAATGGTGTTGCAGGACATCGAGAAGATGATTACTGATGTTGACACTGAAAAAAGTGGTGCTATCGATTTTGAGGAGTTTTTACAAGTAGTAGCATCTCAAATGGGGGAGCGTGACTCTAGGGGTGATTCCCCGACTTCAGCCCATGGCATAGGATGGCTTAGCCCGCGAATATCTTTCTCAACTGACATCGTGGATAAGCCTGCAGTACGCGAAATCGAGAGGATTGGAACACCTGTGAAGGAAGACCAAAGGAATGGTGATGACCGTGCTCTTGAGTTTGAATTCTGTATGGGGTCATCGTCCCAGGACCCTGTATCCCGGAGCTGCATGTTACCAGCGGATGAGCTTTTTCACCAGGGTAGGCTTCTGCCTCAAAGTCAACATCCTTTCCTTCCTCCAGAAGATAAAGTTTCTGGAAGTTTTTCTGGACCGCTGGACTCGCTTAAAACACCCTTTGTTAATGTTGCCCTGCCATCTCAAAGGCAGCACAACTCGAGTATCAGTAGGTCAGGTCCGTTGGCTCGGGAGGAAACAATCTTTTCGGGAACTCTACACGGACTGCAGAAAAATCATTTGAGATTTTCTGGACCCCTAGACATGCGACCTGCTACTCCTTCACAACTTCCTGGACGCTTGGATGTTGGGAATGCAACATCTTCATCTGCTGTTTCTGTGGAAAGTACCGGGAAGCCGAAATCCCATACCTGGGAGAAGGTGATTGGCCTCCTCCGAAGAGCACGCTCTGATAGTCATAGAGACCGGCTGTGTCCAGATAAAGAACAGACGCTGCCTTCTAGCAAGCAGCCTACTTCAACACAAAAAATTTCAGGCTCAGCTGCTAGCTCTCTCCGCTTGATTTTTCGAAGGAATTCGTCTTTAGACAAAAGTGCGAAAGCGAGCCCCTCAGATCCTAATTCATCGCACATGAAGTGTAGTGTCACGAATCCTCCACCTCCAGAGCCTCACAATACGTGGTTACCACCGCAGTATGAAGCGTTTCATCCTCCGCGTGCTCAGGCCATTAGCAGTAAACCCGCTGGTTTAGCTGCTCTGCATGTAGCGTCCCCAGTTTATCCAACGTCGTCAGCTTCCGAGACGGACAGAGTGGATATGTGGAGTTATTCTGCAACAGAGGTGGATTTAAGACCAGTATCTTTGAGGAATTCATGGAAAATGCATGAAACGGCGAGTTCGCTAGAAATTACACTTGATAAGTTTGATAAGCTGAATGTAACGGATCTTAAAAAGAAGTCGGACAAGAGCTCTTGTACCACAGCGGCAGCAGCAAATTCTACTCGAATAGTTTTAAAGAATCTGGAACGGTGCAGTAATCCGGTATCTAAGGGTGGTAAAGGACAAGACCAGCTCAGAGCTTTAAGAACAAGGGAGATTCGCCGCAGTCCTGAGAGGTTGGCGTCGTATACGTCGAGCGTGAGGGTTACTCCAGTACTGAATGTTCCCGTGTGCATAGCTCCTACCATGCGCAGTTCAAAGGCTGCCAAAGGTCGGCTTGCCAATCTACGGTCCTTACTAACTTTCAAGAAAGAAAAGGATGAGAAGACTTTCCCAGACCCAGCGATGGCTGCTTAGATGTGGATCACGTCAGGAGTCGAATTGTGAATTTGAGGATACTAGGGCCTGCTGGAAAAGCTACCCACGTGAGTTCATGGAAATCAAGCTCCCGTAATGGTCAAGGAACGCTTTTTGTATATAGTGGCCGCAGGTATAGGGTGAGTTTAAGGAATCAGGAAAGCAGCATGTTCGAATCTGCTCATGTCTACACAAGTAGCGCTTCCTTGGTTGGTTCCGCATACTTCTGTAGTGCAAGGTACCAGGTGAGATAATTCCTCACCCGCACTAAAAGCCAATGGTTCTTAATACCTTGGACAATGGCGCTCCATCATCAGCAGTGGGGTTAGTCAGCTGTGACTTGAGGGTATTGCTGAAGCTAGCGTCGCACATCGACTGGTTCAATGTTCCTTTTAGATAATTGTGATTTTGGAGATGCAGCGTCAACATGAAGGCTCCGGGCTGTGAGGCAGAGAAGTGCTCTTCTTTTCGTTGTGCTAGGCCCTCTTTTGTGAGCGTTTCCGCTTCTTCGCACGAATGCAGGACTATCTTTCATCCATCTCTACAAGGCTTTTCCTGGGCCGACTTCGAAGATGTTGCAGATGATTTTGACATGCGGGAGTTGGGGCCTTTTTCCATTTTGCCCTTCATACATGGATCAAACTTAGGAACTCAAAATGGGTTTACAACTAGAGAATATTTATTAGAACAGTACACGTTTTGTTGTGCACAAAGCAGGCAATCCAATGCCACTGTACATCAGTTTTAGTTGCTCGTCATCATGCCATGACTTACAGAATCGAAGCAAAGTTTAATCCCGACTTATTCTTTCTTTTCGAAAAATTTTGAATTTTTAGTTTAAATTTTCATGTTTCTATAAAATTTACACTTAAATTTTGACAGGTTTTGTATATAGCTGAACAGCACTGGGTTCGTGTTAACAAAGGCCTCTTCTAGAGATCACCAGTGGGTCGATATCGGAGGTTCACTAATTGGAATCACTCTCAAATCACCATCAAACGATTGCGGTACTTAGTTTTGGTCAATTTGCTTTTATCCGACTAGCCGTGAAATATTTTACATCTATACCTCAAGCACAAGTACCGTGAAAGCGAAAATTCCTACGACACGAACGCCTTTCATTTTTTTATTGAACTTCCCAGATTATTTTTCAAAACCTCAGAACAATTCACTAAACTCCGCTCTTTCTGTTCTTAAGTTGGAATGTAAAAAGCAGATTCTGATTAGAGTATTGAACAAACAGCACAGGTGACAATGCTAATTGTAAAAATAGCAGATTCTACAGCTCAACCGTGCATTGTATGTAAACAAATTTCTTCAATCGTTTAGTACATTCCCTCATCAGCCTTGAAATTCGAGCACTCATTTATGGAAATCCAAAAATATGGGTACCCGCGAGTATCACCGTGAAACAAGAAAGCTGAGCACCACGCCCCCTAGTGCCGTGCCCAGTTTTCATACTTGTTTGCTCTAGGAAAGATCGTTACAACTGCTGTCCTGACATGGTGTACGTTTCTCTAAGCCTCTCCAAGAGTGATGAAGCGCATTTGGCAGCAGCTATTCTGTCAACAGGGTCTAGTGTTTGTCACATGGTCACAGCAGCTACATTCAATCACTGCAATGCACATACTCCGGTGTCCTATACGTTTTTCTGCTACTGATTTGGTTTGCAATTGTACCTTCTTGGTGTCAAGGGGTTGCTTTCCCGCAGCGATGGGGAAATCGTAAGTGATGATTGAACGCATCGTCCAGCAGCAATTCTGGTGCTGAAGTAGACACTTCCAAAAGATCTCTACCAATCTTGCTTCCATTCGTACGCTACAAAGGGACTCATTCGGTTACCTCATAATACAGTGAGAATGTGCTTATTGTGGAGATTTAGGTGTGTGGTGGGGAGCAGCCACAGGAGGACACTAGGAGTAATTACTTTATTCGTGGCAGGTTTTCTTATCCAGGAAACTAAGGTGATATAATTTTACACTGGTCTACGCGATTAATACCAAACGTTGAAGTTACAGCCCATGGCAGTTCACTGGTGCATAATTCATAAGGGCTAATCGAAAATGTATAGCTGTAGTCTTACATTTAGTGAGTCAAGTGAGCTTGTTCTGAGTATGGCAATGGTTGTGAACTGTTCCTGCATCTCATTCTTGGTAGGGTAAAGCAACTGATACAAAATCATGGCAGTGCTTCCAAGCACAACATTAATCGATGATGTGTGCAGGATCTATCCTGTGATTTGACCCTTTTATAAGGCAAGGCCTTTCGGATCTGTATCGTGCGACGTCGGACAGTCTTGATCTCCCAAATCAGGCATTAATTCGAAGCTGCCAGCATGTACAACATTTCACCAGCTCGGAAAGGAACCTTCGGAAGGGTCCAAGAGCATAATGTAAGGAGTACTCGCTACAAGACAACTAAATATAGTTTAGCGATGCCAGCTCAACTTTAAGGTTGAATTCATAAAATGCTGCATGCTTATACTTTAGAAATAATTAAGTTGCAGCGAGTGGCTACGTTTCTGAAGTCCTCCAAATCGAGCTGCGCATACCACAACAAATTTTTTTTATCAGATTTGAGGACACGCCATCAAATAGACATCTAACATATACTTATCACGATGTGACTTGCAAAAATATACACTACCCATTGGCCTTAGTGTGTCTTGAGGCACTCACCACGCCATTTTGATTTCTGTTGAACAGATGTATCATGTCTAGCAGTTCCTCTGTACTCCATGTGAAGTCATGTGCAGTCGACACCCTCTCAAGATCATTTACAGTCAACCGCCCCCTCCCTCTGTCTGCACATTCGCAAAATTCTTAGTAAATACAGCTACTCACTAGGTCTGTTCTCACATACGATAAAAATGATGCGCGAGGCCAGTCAATGTTGTTAAACAACGTACCATCAAAGATAGGAAATAGTGCATCCACTTCTTCTTCAGTGTAATGACGCTTATTACCCTGTCAATCACCACTACATGTCATGAGCATGATAAAAGTTGAAACGACGAATCCTTGCATTTGCTACTCACATGTGTCCCTGCAATCTTTTTGTCGAAAACGTTGGCTTCCAGCATCAGTCAATTGTTACAAACAAGTATGATGCAACCACGATAATTAGTACAAGCAATTTCCCCCTCATATAGAAGACTGTTGCCCGTTTCTTACCATTTTCTGTGTCTTCCGCTTGGTTTTGCCCTTGTTAGGCTTTGATGGTGCATCATCCTCAAGATCATCCTCAGGATCCAGCCCCATAGATTCTGCAGCTCTTTTTTTGGCTGTGTTTCTTTTCTTATGTTTCTTCGAGGATACAGCAAAATCCGCCGCTTCTACTGACGCTCCCATGGATAAAGCAAGAGCCTACAAACCAATGCATGGCATCAAAACTTGTCAAGGAACATTTAAAAACACGAGGCTAAGCCTGAAAAATATCTGTAGAGCCGTGTTTAGTCACACGTGACACGACCCTCACTGGATTTGAACCACAAGATCATGAATATGTTTTCACTTGATGCTGCAATACTCCACAGATCACCTAAAATTACTGGTGTGTAAGCCGTCCTGCAATCTCCACAAACTTCTCAAGCTAACCAGAGGGCAACTAAATAGATGCATCATGAAGACAACCATTCTCCTAAACCAAATAAATAGTACGCTTCATCCATTCGAGTACAAGCAGCAATGTGATAAAATGACGAAAGCTGGTTCACAACAAATCTCAGTTCCAATTTGTTGTTAGTTCAATAAAATAATTTCTTCTGTTGATTCCCCTACCTGTCGAAGGGCATATTGTTCATCATCCTCGTCAACGCCATCGGGCATGACAGATGAGGTACCTTCCCTCAGGACCTCCGTCTCCTGCTCATCCGCCTCATCTTCAGACTCCGAGAGGCCTGCCTCGTCGTCAGTAGGTTCATACTCTCGATCCCTGCGATTCTTCTTACTTGGACTATGGTCTGACTTCTCAGATTCAAAATCCGAATTGTCTGAGCTGCCACTATCATCGCCCACCGCACTGATACACCGTGCGTCAAAATTGTCAAAAGTGTCAGTGTTTCACGGTCTCGTTCCCTTATTTGAATTACATTTTCACCATTAAGCACCGAAGAAGGTTCAGAACAAAGAAAATGATGATCCATTTAAAACCTCCCTGTGATAGTCACTAAACCCTAATCCCTGATCACAAAAACCTGGATTCATCAAAAACTTAGTATTCACCTCCCTAACACCGTCCCTAAATCACACACACAGATTGCAAAACGTCGATACAAATCCAAGTAAAGTAAAAAAAAAGAAAAAAACTAAAAAAACGGAGAGAAAGAACAAACAGAAACCGAAATTTACCTTCGCTTTCCGCGCACAGCTTTCAGCCGCTCCGAACGCCTGCGTGAACTATGGCTCCTCGCATTCGAAGGAACCTCCAGCTTTCCAGCTTTAGCAGACTGGTTGGTAGCTTCAGCGAAAGACGCAGCCAAATTGGGCAGCTGAAGCGATGCAAGCATGGCCTTGTTTCGCTCGATGGTCTTGAGGCGCTGCTTTTCGTACTCTGTAATCTCCTGCTCCTCTCTGTCTCCATCTTCTTCTTCTTCTTCTTCTTCTTCATCCTCCTCTTCATGTTCCTCTTCCTCCTCTTCTACTTCATCAACAGCCTCCTCCTCCTCCTTTCGACGCAATTCTCCCTTTCCATTGCAGTGCTTGCGACGCTGAGGACTCATGGTGGCCAGCATTCCCTTCCCAACAAAGGCTTCTTCGCGACAGCACCTGATTGTCAATCAGGTCACGCTCGGTCTGCACGAGCATCCAACGGACGGCGACTTTCTGACGTTCGCACGTCCAGCAGATTGACATTCACCAGTACCCAATAGTAGTACGAGAGTACTGCAAACATTCTGAAGACTATTATATTATTGTAGATTCTCGTAACCGTTATTCGGTTGATAACCTGAGAAGGGGGAGGGAGCACATAGTCCGGGTATTATGTAAGTCCGCCCTAATACCGTCAACAATAACCCTCATCAGGCCCGACAGGACACAGTGTGCGTGCGTGCGACTCTCTCTCCCTTTGCAAAGTTGTTTTTGCTTCCTCGAAGCTTCAATCACTGCCGTCGACGTCGGAATTGGCATTGAATTTTTCCGTGTTCGCATCGTTGGAGATCGGAAATTGAGAAGGTCATCGAGGCACAATTCCTACCAGCAGTTGAGTGCAGCTTAATTGGGAGAACACAAGGTTGCGATGCGGAGATTTGAGCAATGCAGGGATTTAGAGGGGATTTAGAGACTGCAGGGATTAGGTGGTGGTGATGCACATTGGGGTCGAGTTGCGAGTAGACCATTGAATAATTGAAGCGCAGAAGTGGGATATGGTGAGGCGGAGATTGAATGGAGTGAGTTGGTGCCCCCTTGGGCTACACATGTAGTGTGGAGCATCTGAGAAGGAAGCGAAGGAGAGGCGGGTTGTTGCGAGGGAGCTGTCTGCCACAATGCGGGTAGCTAACGCGCCCAAGCTGATCGTGGATGCGCTCTTGCAGCGCTTCCTCCCGCTTGCTCGCCGCCGTGTGGACACTGCTCAGGCTCAGGTTAGCTTCAGTTGTGGCAAAGGATTTTAGAACTTCTGTGGGGAAAAAATTGGTGGGAAATGGGGTTTGCAATTTTCGAGACCTATGATGGTGGACTGTTCTGGAAGAGTCCCAGGTTTGTGAGACTCTGCTCGTTGGAATGAATTTTAATTTCAGGATGGCCAGTATTTGCGGGCATTAGATCCCTCTTACGAACAAGTGCTCGATTCCCTGGCTATGGTGGCCCATCATACGCCTGTACCCCTTCTCGAGGCACTCCTTAAATGGCGGGACAGGTAATGTTCAAGTTTTGTGTATTCGGTCTGCATCTACCACTTGGGAATACCCTGATTTGAAATGATGATGATGGAGCTGATTTCAGAGGCAAGTGGTGATTAGATTAGTTGGCAATGCAAAGTATTTTCTTGTCTTTCTTACTGAGAGCATGCGTGCTCCATTAGTTGTTTCCATATTTTAAACGTTCACATTCGAATGCTTACATGATGTCAAGATACTTCGCCCCAGCTGGCTATAACGTCAAGCAGGTCATTGTGTTAAGTTTCTACGAAGAAGCTGATTATTGTGTCAATGAAGAGATATTTGTCTTTTCGCATGGTGGTATGACACTGATTAACTAGGTCTTATTCACAAAATGCAGTGAAACACCGAAAGGGCTATTTGATGCTTCGGCTTTCCAAAGGAAGGTCAGTTTTTTACCTTTTGATGTGGACATGCTTGGGAATAAGCGCGTATATTAGGTTTTAGTTTCAACGTTCCTAATGATCGATCAACCAGGAATAGCGTGTTGCTGGTCCATATTTGGGAAGAAGAATTGGTATTCTTCTCATATTGAGGTTCTTGAGTTTCTGGGTTCGCAGCTAGCTGTGGAGTGTATTTTCTGCTCAGCTTGCATACGAATCGTGGAGTGCTGCCGAGCAGAAGGTCTCACTGGTAAGCTTTTCTTCATTGTTGAAGTGCATCCTACGTTTTAAGTAACCGTTTTTCCTAGGCCTTAAAAACTGAAAGAAGTCGACAACAAACAATGTTTACTGCTTTTAGTTTGCCATTCTGAGTCCGGGTTTTTCGTACGAATAATCTGCAGAGACTCTCTGGGCGGGGCTTGAGAAGTTCGCGTTTGACTGGCTCCTCAATGCAGACAGGTACTATTTGATATATTATTAGATGCCTGTGCAAAGAACTGGATGCCTAGTTTCTCGTTAATCTTTTATCTTTATTCTCCTTGGTACCAGAGTTTCTACGGCCAAGGTTGTACCATTGGATTTACATACGTTTTCCAGGAGATGTTTTTCCCATGGATTGCTCATTTGGATAGTATTGGACTTTATTATTATCATGAAATTGGGTCTTGGATTGTACATCCATGGTTTTCTTTTATCAAGCATTGAACTTCTAGATTTTCTTCTCACGAGAGTTCTGCAATTTAATTTTAGATGGTTTTGCGATGTTTGTAACGAGTCATTGTAACTGATATGCCTCTGTATGCTGGACAGAGTTGTGAGCCCAGCGGAGTATCCATCTCTTGTTGACTTGCGTGGACTACTTTTAGACCTTGTTGCACAGCTGCTGGGTGTTCTCTCTAGATTAAGGTGTTCCTCTTTGTACACGTGTTTCTTACCTCTGGGCCCCTAACTTGTCTTATTCTTCTCAAGCGTCGTAAATATTTGTTTGGGTTTTAAGTTGTATAATTGATAATTCCGGGCGTTTCAATTTTTAAATGTGGTGGTTTGTCCAATATCCGGCTTTTCATGGTGTGGATATGTCAAATGCTTGATGAGAGATCTTGATACTATCTAGTTGCTTGTTATATTTCGTGTAATCTTCTTAAGTATTTAGTTTCATTTAATGGTGTTGGAGTCTAATATGTTCTACGTGTGTTCAGGTTTAGTTCTATTACCGAACGATATTTCACGGAGCTGAATCTGCGGCGCTCATATGACACTGTACGAAGTGAGACACTAAGCCTTATACATGGAATGCGCTACCTTAAACTTGAGGTCTGTTCTATCCTCCTCTTTCTTTTCGTGAAGTATCTTACATGATATCATCTGACATGTAAATATTGTTAATTTGTATTGTGGCTATTTTTGTGAGCTGAATTGTACTCATCTGTATGTTCGAGTTCCTTTGGATGGTTGAAGTTTATCCAGTTGAAGGAATAGTGCAAGGAATGAATCTGTCATTGTTTAGTGATGGTCTCTTATAGTGTTTATTTGGAAAGTTTACAAATTCATTCTTGAGACGATTACTTTCATCACGTCCTTTAGTTGATACGGTTTGCTTGCAGAAGCTTGGTTCTAATATTTAGAATTCTTGGCACTGGAGAGCAGATGACAACGAGTGCTGGTCTCAACGCTGCTACTTCTTTCATAACCAAGGCAAATCCATTAGATGGAAGTCCGACAAAGAAAAAGGCTGAACTTCATCATGCTGTCTGCAACATGTTATCAAGCATTCTTGTTCCTTTGGCCGAGTGCAAAAAGGGAGCTTGGCCACCCACTGGAGGCGATCAAGCTCTAAGTCTTTGGTACGATGCAGTTTTCAAATTGCGGGGTCAGCTTAATCTATGGATGGATAAGCAAAGCAAGCATGTGATTGTGAGTGGATAGTCTTCGCTTTCATACATGTTCTGCATTGTGTCATTCTTTTGACTCTGAATAACTATCTTTGATGTTGTTCTTTTTATGAGAGGAGTGAGTTGCTTGAGTCAATATGATAAATACTAATGGTCTGTTTTGGCAGGAGTTTAAAGATTTTTTTGTTTTATTTTGACTTTAGTGTCGTCCTTCTCAATGTCTGGGAGTTCATAGAAGGTGCTGAATATGAGCGGCTCATGTAGGTTGGCTATCCATTGGTTACGTTGCTTCTCTCCCTGGGAGATCCCCAAACATTTATAGATTCGTTTGGTAACCATCTCGACAATCTTTATAAGCTTCTGAAGGTACCTTCTTGCTCTTAACAATCCTCAACGACTGCATCTATTTTTGCTTGAAGTGTAACTCATTACTTTGACTTTAAGGACAGCGACTTTGAATTAGTGAGTCTAATGCTAAAAATCTTGTAAGATTTTAATTTTATTTAGTTATTTATTTTGGTTTTATTTGTCTATATGTATTGTAAAACCTTCCAAGTCAATTTCTTGATGATACCGTTGATTTATCTTTCTAAAAACGTTTTATTATCTGTTTATTTATTTTTGTAATTTTAATTTTTTTTCTTGTTTTTACACTAATTCGTAAGTGCTGCATACATTTATTAGCTAATACTCACTACCAGGGGTCATACTTACGGGTGCTGGCAGGACAAAATGCTTCGCTCAATGGCCTTGGATTGTCTACACAGGGTGCTTCGATTTTATCTTAATGTATACGCAGCCAGTCAGCAGCAAGAAAAAATATGGTTGTATCTGAACAGTATCGCCACGATGCTACTGACTAACCTAAAGAAAGGTTCTCTTACCCAAGACGTACAGCATGATAAGCTTGTGGACTTTTGTGTTACTATTGCTGATGCTTATCTTGATTTCTCAATGAATCATATGATTTTGGAGCTTTTGCGCACTGAGCTGAGTGAAGCCAAAGTCATTGGTCTGCGTGCTTTATTAGCGGTGGTCTCCAGCCCATCACATCATCGCTATGGGGCAGACACATTTGGAGTCGAAGATTTGCATTCTTCTGCCATATCATCTCTTCGGGGTACTTCTACATCATGGTCGCATGCATCAGGATCGGCTAACAGTGACACAGCCTTGGGACATAATATTGGTCCTTACATTCCGAAGGTTCGATCTGCTTTGGGTTCTATCATCAAGTCTTGCCATGCAGTATTCGGCACTTTATTACTGACGGCTACCAAAATCACAACAGGTTGGTTTTCTGACTGACAGCTCGTTACCGCCTCCCTCTATTTCTTATGATCACTCCAGTTCATCAGATTTTTTGGGAATTTGTAGGGGAATTAGTGACTTGCCTCTTCTATGTTATACATCTATTGTTACAGAAGACATCTCGTATTTTCTATTTCTCATTGGACTAGTTTCCTGATATGATATGATTTTGTGATTCATATATTAATTCCCCACCATGATGATGTGTCTCGTTAATTACTGTTTCTGTTCTGCTCTCCAATTATGACACCTCAAACCCTTTTTTATTCATCCAGAGTGTGTGTAGTCAAGTATAGAATCTAATGTACGTCTAAATATCGAATGGTCTGTCGTTGTGACACAGAACCAGCGACGAAAGAAAAATCACAAGGATGGCTGGTGTTTCGTTGGGCTCTTAAGTGCGTTCCGCATCTGATTCCAGAGCAGTGGCAAGCTGAGAAATTGACAGAAATTATTCCACAGTATGCTATTAGTGTAGACACAGGTGTTAGGGAAGAAGCCATTCAAGTGCTTTTTAGGACTGTGCGGGATCTGCCACAAAGTAGGTTTGCTGTCATGCGGGGGATGGCAAATTTCATTTTGCGAATTCCGGACGATTACAACTTATTAATTCATTCATCGCTTGGTCGCTTAGTTCAGTTGCTACATGCTTGGCGTGCATGTCTTGCAGAAGAGTCCTCCTCTCAATTTTCTTCGAGGAAGACCGGGAACGCAGGTCATTTGTCGACTCCGTCAACTTTGTCAGGATTTTCTGATGGTGAAAGGAGCAACTTTGATCCTTCTGGCATGGACGCAGTTGGCCTTATATTCCTTTGTTCCGTAGACGTACATATACGACGTACCGCATTGGAGGTTTTGCGGTGCGTGCGTGATCTACAGAATGACATAAATCGTTACGCTTCCAAGGACACAACAGGAAATTCCCCTTCATTTGTAATCGATGTCTTCGAGGAAACTGGGGTAAACTCACGCATACTCATTGTTGATCTTGAGGATATAAATCTTATTATGCTGTGTTAATAGTACAGAGTCTCTGCAGGAAAAAGAAAACAAGTAGCGATTCATCCCTAGTTGTTTATGCTTTGAATTTCCGGGTATGATCTTGTTTTTAGTTATTGATGTTAGAGTTAAGAGTCAGGCCCTAGGAACTCTAACTTAAACATTAGCAAAATATCTAAAATCATGAAATCTCTTTATGGCATAAATTATTCATGATCTTTCAACAACTGATTATGGATGTAACTGAATAAGAATATGGTGGTCGGATGCTGATGAGTATGACATTGTTTAGGAAGACATTGTCCAGCGATGCTACTGGGATACACTGCGATGGTATGACCTTCGGCGTGAATGGGATGTTCCTCCTGCGGATATCAGCCTCCAATCTGTCTTGGAAAGTTCTGATAAGGGGCGGTGGGCACGATGCTTGAGTGAACTAGTTACTCATGTTGCAGAATTGTGTCCTAACGCGGTACAAGGAGCCAGGTGCTTTTTCGCTCACTTAACCTCTTAAGTCTCCTATTTTGTATACTCGTGTGTGTGTGTGTGTGTGTGTACAGCTTAATGTTTGTATTCGAACGATCAATTGTCTGTATATCTTGTGCGGAATGATTAGTGAGCGTGAGTTCACGATTTCAATGATGAAAAGTTGCCCTAATTATTGCAAGCATCATTACAAGTGAGTATATCAGACACGGCGCTCTGTAAGGTATCCTTTTTTTAAGATTTAGCGCTCACAGATGAAACGGTGTTGTTTCAATGCATTACAGATTAGAAATTATCTCAAGACTGGCTAATATTACGGCTACGGATTTGGGTGGTAAATCTGCTCAGTCGCATGAAATTGATAGCAAGCTTGACCAATGGCACTTGTATTCCATGTTCGCTTGCGGCTGTCCGCCGGAGGACAGCACTGATGGTGGAATTCGTTCTGTAAGGGATTTATGTAGGCTTGTATTTCCTTATCTCAAATCTGGAAACGAAGGGCAAGTTGTAAGTTTCTTTCTGCTAATGTGTGATTGGAAGTTATGTTGACATTTTATATAAGTCGCAATGTCTTTCCTCTGAAGCAATATCGTAGATGTTTCTTTATTTGTGATTTGACTCTCATTGTGTTTCCATTTCGTGTTACATGTTTAATGTCGCTGACGTGTGTTTTGCACGGAAGCAGCATGCAGCTACTCTTGCATTAGGACATTCTACTTTGGAGCTTTGTGAGCTGATGTTGTCTGACCTCACGACATTCGTCGAGGAGGTCACTTCAGAGATGGAAAGTCGACCAAAGTGGAAGGTGAGTAAAATCCCATGGGCTTTTTACTTGTTATTTCCATCAATTGTTGTGAAGTCTGTGGCCTTCTTTTAGTTCTTTTTAACTTTTGCATGAATAGCGTCTTTCACTTGAATCATTTGTGTCTCGCTTTATCCACCCCAGAGAGTTTTCTGTTCAAGAGTGATCAGCATTGCAGCGAAGTTTACTTTCTAATAGTGCTCAATATAAAGTAGATGTCAGAACCGTAGTGGATGTTATCCTGCATGCGTTTGCACTTATTAGCACCCGCCTATATCATATTTTCTCATTGCGGCATCTCCAAACATTTTCAATCCTTTGTAGATGTACCATTGAGTAGATTAGTCTCTCTCTCTCGCTTCCTCCCTCCCTCCAACCGGACCGTACATTGACATGTGGTTAGGTGTTCCCGTTACCGAAATACTGTTTATCTGCAATCATAAACTCGGCTTGATTACATGACTTATTCGTAAAGAGACTGTATGATCCTTGGTCATGTGAGCTAAGCATGAAGTCTTTGTTTATGCAGAGTCAGAAATGGAGGCAAGTGGATGTTAGGGTCCATGTGGCAGATGTATATCGCATGGTGGCAGAGAATGTGTGGCCTGGTATACTGACCCGCAGGCCTGCACTACGTGCGCACTTTCTCAAGTTCATTGAAGAAACAGTGCGTCAGGTGCAAACAGGACCGCTTGAAAACTTCCAAGAGGTTCAGTCTTTGCGTTATTCATTAGCTTGCGTGTTGAGATCCCTTGCGGTTGATATGGTGAAGGCACAACCGGAGAGGTAGTTGACCCATCACTTCTGATATCTCGCTTCATTTTGGCCATATTTTTAACCGGCTTTGTGCTTCTGTTCCACGCGCTAATTGTCAGGCTTGTACGCAAATGCTTTGCATTTTCCATTCTCAAGAGTTACAAGTTTGACTTTGTATGAAATTTCTTTCGCGTTTAGTTGCGAAATATAATTTGTTCATTTGATTCAAACCTTCAAGATTTTTTTGTAGCTACCTTCTTTCAACATGCAACATTGTTCATCAATAAGTAAAACCTAGTGGGATCAATACCACTGACTTGCGCTTCAGGTTATGCGCATTGTGATCGTTGGTCCTTTTTTCCTACTGGCAAGTGTTGTCTGTATATTTTAAGGAATTAAATTGGTTTCTTTCAACTATATTCTCTTCTTATTTCCTTGAACATCAAGTTCCTCCGAATTGAAACTTTTATTAAAATATATCTGCAGATTTCCACCTCCCAATCGCAAGAAATTATTTGATCTTCTTTCTTCGTGGTGTGAGGACACAACGACTGGATGGGGTCAAGATGGTGGAAGTGAGTTTCGGCGTGAAGTTGAGCGTTACAAAGCTGCTCAGAGTCTTAGAGTCAAAGATTCTGTGGATAAAATTACAATTGAGAAGGAAATCAATGATCGCGTGGATGCAATTCAGTGGGTGTCAATGAATGCTATGGCAGCACTTCTATATGGTCCATGCTTTGATGATAGTGCCCGCAAAATGAGTGGCCGTATTGTAGCTTGGATTAACGGGCTCTTTCTAGAACCAGCGGGGAGGGTACCAGGTAGCTACTTACCAACAGAAGCACGGAACATATCTCCCCATTCCAAATTCGGGGTAACCGGATTTCTAGAAGGGATGAGGGGCGGCACTGGTCGCGACAAGCAACGTGGGAGCCCATCACGAGTTCTTCTGGCAAAGACTGCTCTCATGAATTTGCTTCAAAGTAATCTAGATCTCTTTCCTGCATTTATTGATCAGGTACGTCGGTTGAATCTAAAAGAGAATGCGCTGCAAACGTAAAATGTCTGTTATTGCAGTCAACACTCTTTCTAACGGTCAGGTTTGTTGCACGTAAGTGTCGTCGTTCAAGTTGTTGAAATCTTGGTTAACACTTCTTTCTTGTTGCAGTGTTATTCATCTGATCCATCCATAGCAGATGGGTATTTCACAGTCCTGGCTGAAGTGTACATGCGACAAGATGTTCCCAATTGTGATATACAACGCCTACTTAGCCTGATTTTGTACAAAGTTGTCGATCAGTCAAGACAGATCCGGGACGACGCATTACAAATGCTGGAGACATTGTCAATTCGCGCATGGGCTGAGGAGGGTGAGGATGCGGGGCGGTACAGAGCTGCTGTGGTAGGTAGTCTACCTGATTCATATCAGCAATTTCAGTATCAATTGTCAGCTAAACTTGCAAAGGAGCACCCTGAACTTAGTGAAGCACTGTGCGAGGAGATAATGCAAAGGCAGCTTGATGCTGTTGATATTATTGCACAGCATCAAGTTCTCACGTGCATGGCTCCTTGGATTGAGAACCTCAACTTCGGACAACTTTTGGAGTCCGGTTGGGGTGATCGGTTGCTTAAAAGCCTGTATTATGTTACCTGGCGACACGGGGATCAATTTCCTGATGAGATTGAGAAGTTATGGAGTACAGTGGCTATCAAATGGAAAAACATCGTTCCGGTGCTCAATTTTCTTATCACGAAGGGTATTGAGGATTGTGATTCAAATGCGTCAGGTGAAATCAGTGGTGCATTTGCCACGTATTTTTCAGTAGCGAAACGTATAAGCCTGTACTTGGCCCGAATCTCTCCCCAGCAAACCATTGATCAGTTAGTGTGCGAACTGGCACAATGTAGGCTTGAAGACCCTCCTGAAGAAGTCAAAAGGGCTGACCCTTATTTTGACAATGAAGTTGGTGTACTAGAGTTCTCGCAAGGTCCACTTACGTCACAAAATGATCCCACAGCCTTGAGAAGCTCCACTGACGGCACCACAAGAAATGTTAGTGGCAATTTGAGCTGGCGGACAGCCACAGGGCGAAGCATGTCTGGACCATTGAACCAGATGCCAGATCTGATTAATGTGCATGCAGGACGCTCTGGTCAACTTTTTGCAAGTTCTGGACCATTGATGAACCTTTCAGGTCCTCTTATGGGAGTCCGAACTTCTACAGGGAGCATGAGGAGTCGTCATTTGTCTCGCGACAGTGGTGATTATTTTCCTGACACACCTTCTGCTGACGATATTCGCTCCAATGCCCAGGCAACAGCTGGTGGAGACTCTCAAATACGTCATCACTGGCTTTCTCGTGCTGACATTGCGCTTATACTGCTTGCTGAAATTGCATATGAGAATGATGAAGATTTTCGAGGGCACCTTCCACTTCTCTTCCATGTTACTTTCGTGTCCATGGACAGTTCAGAGGACATTGTACTGGAGCACTGTCAACAACTATTGGTGAATCTTCTCTATTCGCTTGCTGGCCGGCATCTGGAATTGTATGATGCTGGAGATCATGGTAATAGTGAATACAAACAAGAAGTAGTTAGTCTTATCAAGTATGTTCAGTCAAAGAAGAGCAGCATGATGTGGCAGAATGAAGATATGACCCTAACCAGAACAGAGCTTCCCAGCGCTGCTCTTTTGTCCGCCTTGGTGTTGAGTGTAGTTGATGCGATCTTTTTCCAGGTTTGCACTTGTCCTTACGTTTTCATGTTTCGTGATTAGCATAATTTTTTTGTTTGATTTTCTCGCATCGCAAGTCTTTTAATAACTCTTAACAGCAATTTTGAAATTGGATACATATAATTTTGGTTAACCTGGTGACATTAGCATCGCTATAATTCTCCTGTTCTTTATGTATGCAGGGTGACTTACGTGAAAAATGGGGGGAGGAGGCCCTGAAGTGGGCCATGGAATGTACGTCGAAGCATCTTGCATGTCGATCACATCAAATCTATAGGGCACTTCGCCCAAGTGTGACTAGTGATACCTGTGTATCTCTGTTGCGTTGCCTTCATCGCTGCTTCAGTAATCCATCACAAGAAGTGTTGGGGTTTGTCATGGAAATCTTATTAACCCTCCAGGTACAGCAGGCCCTATTTGACCGCATTGTGGATTCTTCATCTGAATGAAATGGACAATCACCGCCTAAAGCAGCAAAAATGCAAATATTTTGTTCTGATTTAGTAATATCTTGCAGGTAATTGTTGAGATTATGGAGCCAGAGAAAGCAATATTGTATCCCCAAATGTTCTGGGGGTGTGTAGCAATGTTGCATACAGATTTTGTTCATATTTACACCCAGGTCTTGGAACTTTTTGCAAGGGTTTTGGATCGTCTTTCTTTTAATGACCAGACAGCTGAAAATGTACTTATCTCTAACATGCCTCGGAGTGAAGTAGATAGGGAAGATCGAGATTTAGGTCGTCTCGATTCGAGAGGTTTTTATCTTGGTAGTGATAGGTCATTTGAATCTCCATCAAGTCAAAGCTTTCCCTCTGCAAATAGGGAAGAAACAGAAGTCGAGAAGCCCCCACCATTTGAAGGAGTACAACCTTTGATTCTGAAGGGCCTCATGTCAACAGTGAGCCACGCATCAGCCATAGAGGTGTTGTCTAGAATAACTCTGCATTCTTGCGACCAGATTTTTGGCAACTCAGAGACACGATTGTTGATGCATATCGTGGGATTATTGCCGTGGCTCTGCTTGCAATTGCGCAAAGAGAGCACAGAAGTTCTTGATACGTCGCCTTTACAGCAACAGCTACAGAAAGCGAGGTCAGTAGCAGCAAATATTTCACAGTGGTGTGTTGCGAAGCAGTTGGATGATCTCGGCGTAGTATTTTCAGCTTACGCTGAAGGGCAAGCAACAGCAGTAGAGAATCTTTTGGATCAAGTAGCTCCGCTGCTCTGCGCTGAGTGGTTCCCTACATACTCAAATTTAGCGTTTGGTCATCTGCTCCGCCTGCTAGAAAAAGGTCCGATAGAGTATCAGCGGATCATTCTTCTTATGCTGCGGCCATTGGTACGGTACACACCCATAGAGAGTGCCAGAATCCCTCAGGTATGTTCAGAATCGTAGCTAAGATAATTTGGATTTTTACGTCTTACAATCAGAGAATTTTGCTGTGCCTTCATACTCTTGTTTATGTTGAACTTCTTTTTGTTCGTTGTTTTCTCGATTCCTTACTGCTAGTTAGAATAATTTACTGCAATTTTTTCCTGTTGATACTGGACCCCCTCACTTACAAACCACTCTCTGCCTCAGGTGTATGCTGCTGTATCACAGCTGGTGGAAAGCCCTCTTTGTATGGAAGCTGTGACTGTATTGGAGGCCGTATTACAGAGCAGCAGTGTTCATGGGAGTGTACATTCAGAGGCGTCTTCTGCAGTTAGTCCCCAGGAGAGTGGGGCAATTAACAATGTTCCTCGGAGCTATCCACGGCGTCCTGAGGATTCTGCACCAAGTCCTCAAAGGAATATGGCATCTCAAAATTCTTTCAAATTGCGTGCACCAGTTCAACAGTCATGGACTGGTTCCACGGGACCGGTGCCTAGTGGAGGTGTTAGTCCTGTAGCTTCCGACGTTCTTCCATCCAGGTCTGAGGACATAACCTACTTTATAGTTTGTTTCTGTCAGAAACATGTTAGGACAGATGGCATTAAAGAGTTGCAGCTTGATTGGTTGTAGCTTTCGGAATATTATTCAGTTCTTTGCCTGTTTTTAGAATTTGCAGTTCGGCTTTCTTTCGAGGCATCAGTGTTTGAGACGACCAATCACACCAGCCTTGCAACTACTGTTGTATTATGACTCTTGAGACCTCTTCAGCGCAAATGTGCAAGTCTACATGTCTCCACTCAGCAGGAATTTCACTTCATTGATACTGAAACTCCATTGTTTTGCGCGCAGGGAGAAGGCATTACGAAACACTCAGTTAGCTCTTGGTCGTGTTCTGGACACATATGGAACAGGAAGGAAACGTGACTACAAAAGACTCGTACCTTTCGTTTCTAGTAATCTGGGAACAACCCTTCGACCCGGTAAATCAGAACTTTGAATATTGTATTCAATACCTTAGTTCATCACTATTATTGTCTCGGTGTAACGTTCCAAGCATATTCTTTCGAGCAATTTGTGTTGCTGGTCATTCGACATCCATATTTGACAAGTCTGGAAGGATCCACTTGCACTGGTGAAAAAATCAAATCCTACCAACAATGAGGGATGGACTTAAGCGCATGATGCTATCATGGTTTTGCAGCATAACCAGCGTGCACACTCATCCGCCCGAAGGGCTCTGTTCTGCACTGCTACATGAGCTCTGATGCTACCAGCAGGGGATGTCCAGAGCACTATGTCATGACGAAAGTTCAACTTTCTATTATTTAAACGCTCGAGCATCCGGGAGAGTTGGATTATTAACGTCGATGTCCTCTCAGTTAATCATGTTGTGTTAGTGCTTGGGGGAGCTTTCTCCCTATCAACTTCTCATCCCTCTTTTGCTAGTTCTCCATATAATGTTTTTACTTCTCGATTTAAAATCAGTTAGGAGACTATACTCTTCATTCATGATAGCAGTATCCGCTCATTTTTCAAGGTTGCTAGAGAAGTAGCAAAGCGGTACCGCGCTTTCATAATCTAGTGACTTCACAATCTTTGTTCGAGACAGGTTCAGGTCGTTAGAGTAGGACTAGGTTGTAAATTATGTAAGTTTTTATTATGTACTATCACGCTGGCTACTTTGTATTGTGTTCTGTGGCACATCAGGTGCCATCCACTTTTAAAGATCCTTTGGAGGTTTCAACGTGCCTGGAAAAATGAAATGAAGTGTATTGAACAATCATGACTTTTATTCTGCATTTATGTTTAAAGAAGATTGTTATATTACATAACGATCACTTTTCAAAAATAAAAGTCATGATTGTTCAATGAAATGTTTTGAAATTTCCTATACTTCAATTTTTTTTACAAAATGTCTGTAGTCCCTTTTTTTATTTTTTTATTTTTTAACCACATTCCATTTGTTCCTATGTGCCTATGTTTAGAGTCAACACCTTTGCTCTTCTAATACTTCTGCTTGAAAAACTGACTTTCACATTTATTTCTAAAATGAGAGTGGTCAAAAACAGATTTGTAAGAATTCTGAGAAAGTATTTTTTGCTTTTACAAGAAAATAAGTTAAAACTTTCAAAGCTTGTAATGGATTGAAATTGAAAAGCTTTCCTTGGCTTTACATTTAGAAAAAGTAGCTCAGTGTCCATAAGAAGAAATGATGAGGTAAAATGTGTTATCTTCTTTTATGTAGTATAAATAGTTTATGTAGTATAAATAGTGCTATCCCATTGAATTTGCACTAGACTCACCTCAATAGGCGGTTCTTACAAAAGTTTGAAAATCAATGTCAAAAATTGCTATAATAACCATCAAATTCTCCATAATCAAAAAACTAATATTTTTTATATTTGTCACAATCAAGATATGATTTTTATATTTCAAATTATAATAAAAAGAATAATTTGTTTGATGAAATTATCTCTTCTTAGATTATGCTATTTATAAAGGTTGAAGCTTGTCACTTGAGCTTAAGAGTCTATGAGCAAGGACAAAATAGAACTTGATGATTGTTGTAACCAATAATACATATTGATCTATAAACAAGCTATTTTATTACCAAGATTTATAATTACATTTCTTTTGATTTAATACTATTTTATCTCAAGGTTCTACTATTTGGTAATATTATATGTAATTCTACTAATTCTCAACTACTATTGTGGTACTACTCTAATCCTTTAATACTTGGACTCCCTGGCTTTTACTTGAGAGGCGCCTTTGCATTTTGTGGTGGCACTTCTAATGTTAATCTTATCTTTCTGCTCATTGCCCTAACCTTGTGCCGTTTAATCACTCTATCTGATATCAAATTGCTTTGACGGATAACAAGACTTCTAAAGAATATTTTTTCATTACTAAGCAAAAAGAATCTTAGACTCCTTAGTCTAAAAATATCCTAAATTTATATTTTAAAAATTTTAATCCAACATTAATTTAAAATGTACAATAATTGTACAATTAATTTTTGTAGATTTATATGATTCTACAATTTAAAAAATAAAGATAATTATAGATGATTTCTATTTAAATTTCTACAGATAAAAGTATAAGAAAGTATTTGGAAAGAGCTTTCGATGTTGTTTTAAAAAAATCTACAATAAAGAAAAAGAAAATAAATTTAATATTTTTTATAGAATTTTTTTTATTATTAATAATTAGAAAAAAATTATATATTTGAATTAAAAATAAATAAAAAAGCCTTTAAATTTTGGCTAAATAAAAAACTAAAAGAATTTGACCTTTCATCTTCTTGTCTATACAATAAGACTTACTAAACGTTTTGATAACTATTTTTAAAGTTTTATTAATATTTTTTAATTTTTTAAATTAAAAATTAAAATTTATAATTTTTTCTATACTATTATTATTATAAATATTATAATGTATTTTTCTAAAGATGTACATATGATGGCATATTGAATGTGGATTTTTTTATTTATTATTGTGTAGATTGATATTTTTTAATATTAAATAATATAATAAATGTGATAAAAAATTCACAAATTTATTAACATAATTATTAGATTATTATTTTTTAAATACTATAAATTTATTTATTGATAAATATTGGTTTGACAATTATTTTGTATTAAATATCTCTAATTTAATAAAATATGGAATAGTTCTTTTAATTTTTTGAATATATTTATAATACTAAATTAATATTAAAAAATATTAAATATCAAGTATAATATTCTAATTAGTGAATTGAATTGACTATTTTCTATTTATAAATAGATCAATTTAATTGCTTATTGATTATACCTACTTTAATCTATAAAGTTCCATTTTATATTCCACATGTCTTTTCTTGAAGCATATACAATAATAGATATACCAATAAGAAGATAAATGCTACTTCTTTCAATAAAAGTAGATAATATTTAAGAATTTGAAAATACGGTAGTTTTAGATTCAAAGTAGTATCAAAATAGATTAGAATATCTTGTACATTAGTAGTAACATGATATTAGTAAGCATATATAGGAGCCAACTAAGAATCTTACAAATCCATTGATGCTTTTTATCAACATCCATCAAAATCAAGTTGAAAATTCAAATAATTTATTTCTTAAAAGAAATAAGGTTTAATGAAGATTGTATTCTATTCTTTATCTTTGTTTGTAGTTTTATGGTGCTAAAGAGATAAAAAACTAACAAATAGCAGATTCAATTCAAGAACTATTATTTATTGAGTTGGTAAACAATGAATTGAGATTGTTATAGTCTTCAAGATAATGTAATAGAGATGAAGATCTTTAAAAATAATATGTTCTTTCGTAAATAGATAGTAGGATATAGAGTATTTAATATCATAATCTTGGAAGAAACTTTTGATATTTAGTGATATTATTGGAGGTTAGAACCACTTCTAAAAAATTTTCAAATAAATTATTTGAAGAAAGTTACAAAAGCCTCAATAATAATTAAATATGAAGGTGGTCTTTACGTTATCATAATACGTGAAGTCTTGCTTGAGAATGCTCCGAGCACCCGGTTGTGGAATATAGAATGGAAATTGCAACAACAAAATCATAATTTTAATAGAACACTAATAATACTAAATAATCTATAATCAAATTCAGATAAACCTCAAAGGAATTCCAAAGAAACAATAAGAAATCTTAAAGAAATATTAGAATGATTACAAACATATCTCAAATACATCTCAATTCAATCTTAATTAAATTCTAGTTGAAATCTTACTTCATTCAAACTTTAGGCCAAAAACTAACTAAATCTTAAATCCTAAACAAACTCAAATAAAATCCTAAACCTTAAATCAAATCCTGATCAAATCCTAATCAAATCTTAAATCCTAAACCAAACCCTAAACCCTCAATTACATCCTAAACCTTAAATCAAATCATAATCAAATCTTAAATCCTAAACCAAACTCAAATCCTAAATCAAATCCAAAATCAAATCCTAAACTTTAAACCAAATCTTAATACTAAATCAAATCCTAATCAAATCTTAATCTTAAATCAAATCCTAATTCTAAATCAAATCCTAACTATCCCTAAATCAAATCCTAAATCTTAAATCAAATCCTAATCCTTAATCAAATCCTAACCAAAATCCTAAATCAAACCTTAACCCAAAATCAAATCCTAATCAAATTCTAAATCTTAAACCGAATTCTAAACCCTAAACCAAACCTTAATCCTAAGTCAAACCCTAAAAAATCCTAAACCAAATCCTAATCCTAAATCAAACCCTAATCAAACTCTAAATTCTAAACTAAATCCTAATCTTAAATCAAATCCTATCCACTCCTAAACCAAACTCTAAATTCTAAACCAAACTTCAATCTTAAATCAAATCCTAACCAAATCCTAACCAACCCTAATAATTTCTACAATAGAATTAAACCTCAATAACTAATGAATGAACATTTGATCTTAACTCAAAATTTTCACACTTCTTAAAAACTAAGTTGAAAACAAGCACAAATTTTTTGAAAAGGATCGGAATTACCAAATAGACAATAACCTCAAAAACATGCTCGGGTATTGGGTGGTCTCCTTTTTCAACCTTGATGCCAATCTCCTAAAGCCAATATCTCTCTTTTTTGCTATTCAATTGATCTCAAAATTCTTATAAACATAGAAAATAAGTCTAATATCGTCTCACACAAATTTCACTCCAATCCAACTAGTAGATTGCAAGAAATCTTAAAAACCCTTATTAGACTTAAAATTCTACTTTCTGAGACCTTGACTCACTTAAACCTCAATAATCCTCAATTTAATTGTTAGATCGAGCTAAGATTTACAATAAATATTAAGTACAACTGTGACCATCAATCTACAAAATTTCACTTATAGATCTGTTATAAAACTCTTAAAATCACTAGAAACATCAACCCTATTTTATTTCACAAAACCCAAGTCATCTAAAAATAATCTTGACTTTGTAAATCTCTTACAAAGTCATAAGAACTCAAAATCATCCAAAATCAATGCTCATAGAAACCCTATTTAGTTTTCTATCAAATCCTATTCTTTGATTTGCAAAAGAACCCTGAAGTTGTCATTAAGACTTGGTTTTGTATCTCAGGGTCTGATTTCAATCCCAGTTCATAATCGGTCCTCTCCGGATATCAATATCTATTTTTTTTAAGTAAATTTTACTAGAATTTATTCTTAACTTTTTTCTAAAGATGCCTATATTATTTATTTTTCAAATATACTTTGTTTTGCCTTATTTATGGTCCTACAAAGTAAGTAGAAGTCACCTTTTTAAAAAGGCAGCATTGGTACCTTTTAGTTTTACTACCCTTTTGACTATTAACTATATTTCTAAGATAATTTGCTCTAATACTTTGAACTAAGATCTCCTACATTATAATATTTTCTACATTCTTTCACCTATTAGTCATGTTACATCACGACATCCATCCTCCTTAAATCTATGCATCCTCCGACATGCACCAACAATTCTTCAATATATTGATGTAGAATGTTCTTCATCTTAGTCTAATTCTTGATCTTCAATATGCTCTTCTATTCTAATCTCAATATCTTTTATTGGAGTTTGTTCTTCATCTCTTTGTTTAAATAACTTGATTTGTTTGCTTACTATGAGTACCTTCAATTCTGTACTATCAAGTTCTTATAAAAAATATGTTCCATTGTTGTACGCCTTTTTGACAATATAAGGCCTAAACCATCTCTTTGCAAACTT